AGCAAGTGGTAATATTGAACGGCAAAGAATCATCTCAAGAATCTTTTCGCATCTGGGCTATCCGATATCCATCAACGAAGGACATTTTGTCAAGAAATGCTGATCGGTTCAATGTTCATTTTCGCTGTTGTTCAAAGAGGGAATGATTTTTGGGAAAACGGCATGAACCAAGGAAAGTTGGAAAGGAGTCCTGTTGTCATCGTCACTGCTTGCATGAAAGCACGAAAGTACAAAACGCTCATCCGGACGGCTTCAACAATGGGGAGACAAAAGAGCATCCAAATCCAGCCAGTTACCACATAACAATACGTGATTGGATACAAAGCCGTTTGCAGTAATCAAAGATCAAGAAATTGGCCAGGATCAAGAATGTCAGCATGCTTTTGCACATCTTCCATTGTGTGAGCTGGGCATGACGTATACCCCACAACTGAGAGCCTAGATGATCTAGATGCTTCTAGAACAGGTATCCACCATCATGTCGTGTACACCAACTCTTCACATTCCAGCATGCTTTCACACATGAACTGATTTCCATGCAATCGTTCTTTGGGAGTTATAGATCGTTCAGCGCTCTTTGCGTTGTTCGTTTGCGCAGGGGCTATGCTTGACTCGCTAATTTTTTCACATCCCACGGATGTCACAGAAAACATGTAATGGATTAGAACGTCTGAAATCCTGTTGAATGAGTATGTGTAAAACATGGCATCAGTCGTTTCACGTTCTTTGTCTCAGCCATGTGTCCATCCTCAAAAGATGAAGCTCGAACAAGTTGAACAAACTCCTGTAAATGGCGAAACAGCTGGTTGCTGGACTGCCGATTGAAGAACTTGCAGCTGCCAAGCGGGCACAAAAGGCATCTTCAGCTCTCAAAAGATGAAGCTCGAACAAACTCCTGCACATGGCGAAACAGCTGGTTGCTGGACTGACGAGGATCCTCAAGGATCTCTATATATTTCTTCTTATGTTTACCCAAATTTGCTCCCAGCGCCCGAAAACAAGCACTCTGCATATCATAGGAATGTATACAATATATAATATATAGGAATGATATTATTGTCATGAAAGGACTGGGTGACATACACACAAGGTGTAGTAATGCAGCATGTCAACAAAAACTTAGATGGACCAAAGTAATGCCATGGATGTCTTGTTCTTTGTACGTAACCACAAATGCGCCTCTGTCTCAGTGCAGCTGCTGGCCAAAAATACAGTAGTGTCCTTGGGACACCCCCACAGCAAACTTGAATGTCTCAAATCACTCCAATCATTGAATTACAGGTGCACAGTACGATCGATTTTTGTCATGGTCACCATCTTTTAGCACGCAAATTAGACAAAGACAAATCACCGACCAAATCTCTTCCAAATCATCTTGAGCAACTGACCTTTGAGCAGCTCGGGCAAGCCGGCACAAAAGGCATCTTCATCTCTCAAAAGATGAAGCTCGAACAAAGTTGAACAAACTCCTGCAAATGGCGAAACAGCTGGTTGCTGGACTGACGAGGATCATCAAGGATCTCTATATGGTTGTTGATCAAAATTCCTTTCTCCCGGAACGGCCATTCTTCGCGAATAAAAATTTTACTTTCGCGAAACTTTCGCGAATTCCATGTTTATCTTTCGCGGGGCCCATGTTGGCCAACAACACCTCTTATGAAGATTCGTTCACCACCTGCCAAATTACGCCAGAGAATCACGGATCACTTCTTGGAGCCTTTTAAACATGCAGCTAGCATCACGGAATCCCTTCTCAGGACAGACTTTCTTTTGCAAAGTTTACTGGCCCACCCCCTTCCACATGCACTTTGACTTTCGCCCGCTCTTTCGCATAACTTTCGCGGACCTTTCGCGAAAATATCCCTATTCACAGACCCCGGCCATCAGCAGGGGGTGCACTGAAGGAAAAGCGAAGACCAGGGGCCTTGGTGTTTGGCTCTCGCAAAGCCTCACTTTTGGAAACTTGGCTACTGCTACTCGCATTCTCTGGTGCCCTTCTCCTGCCGGACCCCGGGCGGCAGTGGGTGGCAGCCCTTTACATATAATGATTATAATACCCAACTTTCGCGAAACTTTCGCGAAATAAAATTTTACTTTCGCGAACTCGAACTTTCGCGAGGGTTTCCAACATAACATGCACGGCTTTCGCAATTAAAACTCCTTACAAGGACCTTTAGATCGGTCACCATATATTTCTTCTTAAGTTTACCCTCATTTGCTCCCAGCGCCCGAAAACAAGCACTCTGCATATCATAGGAATGTATACAGTATATAGGAATGATATTATTGTCATGAAACGACTGGGTTACACACAAGGTGTAGTAATGCAGCATGTCAACAAAAACTTAGATGGACCAAAGTAATGCCATGGATGTCTTGTTCTTTGTACGTAACCACAAATGCGCCTCTGTCTCAGTGCAGCTGCTGGCCAAAAATACAGTAGTGTCCTTGGGACACCCCCACAGCAAACTTGAATGTCCCAAATCACTCCAATCATTGAATTACAGGTGCACAGTACGATCGATTTTTGTCATGGTCACCATCGTTTAGCACACAAATTAGACAAAGACAAATCACCGACCAAATCTCTTCCAAATCATCTTGAGCAACTGACCTTTGAGCAGCTCGGGCATGTCAGCACGAACCTTAAACCAGCAACAACATCGAACCATGTCCAGCTGTGAAGTGGATGTTTCAAACTTGCCGTAAACAGATATTTTCCAAGGAACTCTGCAATGCTTGGAAGCGTGGCTTTCGGTTGAACCACATTGATTCCAGAGACGTAGATCTTTAAACCAACATCTCCTGGAGAGTACCTTACATCATGAGACCATGCTAGCCGCTAGCCGTCCATGCCTCAACTTATGAATCCAACACTGGAACAGAATCTGAAACATCTGAAACATGCAAATGACATGTTGCCTAATATTTCCTGCCGGCCGCATCGCTGAACAGTCGGCTGGAATTCAATACCATGAAGCCGTTGTCAAATAAGAGATTCGGTAATTTGGTGGTGGTATGGCAACCCCTTGCCGCTTAGTAGCAAGTGAGTACCGCTGGCCAAGCAAGACGCTCCGTCCATGCAGTTCATGGCCACATCCTACTAGAAATGCAAGGTCTGCCCGTTCACTGCAGCATTAGGACAACCCGGTGACAACCCAGTCAAAACACCATGAAAACCTAGTCAAAAATGAACATCAAAGCGAAGCTGTCGAAAAATGATCCAAGGTCTAGCTCCAGGACTTTCTCATTTCAGCTACAATTTTCAAGTATTTAAATAATCCGATCATTTTTGACGTACGTTGGTTTGAATGCCACAATGTGCCACAGTTGCTCTGTTGCAAGCATTTCAGCCGCGGTGTCTTGAACAGAAAGCATTTCAGGATCCCTGCGTGCATTCTGTCAAAGCATCCTAACAAAAATCACTACAAAATGCATTTCCGATTTTCAAGTGCTTTTTTCGAAAAAATGACAAGCCGCTACAAGATGCAGCGCATGCCCTCTTACTACAAAAACCAGTGCAGGAATCCGTTTTTGTTGCATGAATTCTCCCCGTAACAGGGGATGGTATCCAGCACGTGTTCACCCTTTTAGTTGTGGAAATGGTAAGGGGGCTCTTTCAGGCACAATCGCAAGGCAGCAAGTGACAACATGTTACCCGCTTGGCTCATGCATGTTGTGGCACGGCTTGGAACCGGTTGCAGCACACTTGCAAAATGTTTTGCCACATCCAACTTACTTCTTCCCTTCGGGAAAATGTTGCGGCCCTCCGACTCAGTCAGCGGCGGCAGTGAGATGCCTGGTACACTTGGCCAACCAAAAGCCGTTGCGATTAGCTCACATCCTTTTGCGGATTTGAAGGCGGTTAGCTCCATGTCACAGCTGGTAGCAGTCATCCACCAGCAGCACCACCTGCAGCAGGTTCTGCTGGCCCACCTGCGCTGGCAAACGCAGCAAGATTCAGTAAAACTGTTTTGCTGCCACAGCGATTCAAACCCAAACCCTTTGAAAAAAGGATTTCAAAGCATATGCACTTGCAAAAATTACAACACGAAGGTTGCCCGGACTGTGGCTATGCTCATACCACCAAAGGACCACTAGTGGGGAACAAAACACACGGCCGGGCACCCTGGTTCTCCAACAGCTTCTCTATGTCTTCGCGTGAAAGGTTCTTAGCTGCCTGCGCTCAACAGCCCCCACATTCTGAAAGCGCACTGCTTCACAACCAGGCGACATGCAAGAACTGCATGCCCGAATGCAAGAATTGCAGGCCTTGACAAGGTTTGCACGACGCTTGCGGAGTTTCCTGTCCTCTTTGGAGGCCGCGCGCAGCTCCGCTTTCAGTTCCGTGCGGCGCCTCTTGACTTCACTGAGTTCCTCATGAAGTAACGCCTGCAATGACGATTGCAAATGGGAAACCAAAGATTTTAAAGGAGGGAAAAACCCATGGACAACAAAATGGGAAGCGAATCCATAGGTGTAGGAAACCAGGGGTGAAACATTAGCAAGAATGGAAGTTGATTTATGGGCAAGACTGAGTGTCTGTTTTTGGGCCTACAAAACCCACGCAAAACCGGAGACACAAATGGAGGCCCCCCCAGTTCCAAAAGGTGTTTCCACAGCAGTTTAATCCAATGTTCTAATGGGTTTGCCTTTGTACAGCCGAACATGACCTTTGGCCGCTGGCTGCTTCCAATGCACATAGGACAGAACATCCAGCTTACTTCTTCCCTTAGGGAAAATGTCGCGGGCCTCCGACTCAGTCGGAGGCCCTGGTGGGATGGTCGGTACACTTGGCCAACCGAATTCAAAGAGTAAAGATTGGCACACATCCTTTTGCCAATTCGAAGCACCAACCTTGGCGAAGGCCCGGCTCCATTTCACAGCTGGTAGAATTGATTGTAAAGATGAACCCAAGATCTCCAGCCATTGGGCAGGCGAAATCTTTCCGTCCACACTCATTGATTGCTGTGAACGATATAGCTCTGCGATTTTCTCCTTCAGCCGCGAAAATAGATCTGTGTCTGCTGGTTGAAGGCAACGTGTGAGCCCAGCTGCAATGTAGACCAAACGAATATGGTTGAGCTTCGCTTGCCTTTTAATGGAACCGTGCAAGTGAGAAGGCGCGCAATCTAGAAGTAGTGCATAGTCACGGCCCGGAGCTGCAGCCTTGAGCTTGAATCCAAGCAAAGAAATATATCGTCTCAGTGTAGCATGGCATGACCAAGCGCTTTTCTGGGTCCAAACGGACAGATTGCCCCTGAGTTTCTCCACTTTGGCCTTCTTTCCAAGAAACCGACCGTTCGTGAGGAGAACCTGCGGAAGGAATGGCTGCACAGACGTGTCATTGCAAATCGTGCACATCAATGTGAACCGAGCCCGCGTCTCAGCCAAAGATGCGGCATCTACAGCCTTGTGCCCTGTGAAGCCCCGGGCGGCAGTGCCAACCTTCGCGGTTGGCTTCAAAGCAATGGAAGTTTCGTCCATGTTCAGCAAGAGAAGAGGACCCGAGCTGCTTGATTGTGCATGAACGTAGTTGCTCCATCTCCAAAAAGCTTTCGCCTGCCGACTGTAGGGTCAAAAAATGGTCCCTTCTGGGAGATCATGAAATTGACCCTCTATTAAACACAAGCAAGGGAGGGCCCAAAAACGGTCCCTCCAGGAGGGTCCAAAAGTGGCCCCCAGAAATCGACCAAAAATACCTTTTTGACAAAAACAATCCATATCGAATCTTTTCTCATTTCAACCATCCAAAACAATGACTTTCTCCCGCCTTGCGCTGCATGTCTGCTAGAGGCATCACTGCCTGCACACGCACGCGGCCCAACTGTAGACCATGTTCAAAACGAAAGCGGCGCAACCACTTTCTTTGTGACCTTGCGCGTCCATTGCCTTTCCAGTACTGCTCCAGCATGGCTGCCACATCATGCGGCAAATCCTTTGGAGTCAGCCTGCACGCTTCTGCTACTAATTGTTGCCTCCCAGGTGCAACCCCTTTCTTGTTTTGGGCAAGCAGCCATGTGTATAGCTGCGTTTCAACTATAAAGCGACCCGCCGCAAACAAGTCACGACGGTGGCGTGGGCATGTGGGACTATCTAAGAGGCCCACAATGGTTTCGAAAGGCACCTGCAAATAGGCATCTTCAATTGCAGAAGCTAAAGAATTTGACAAGGAAGCCTCTGCCACATTCAACTTGTTCTTGGCCGCCAAAAAGCGTGCAGCACAAGCAGAATTTCTGCCGCTCAACTCGAAAACAGCCAAAACAGATGTTGCAGTAGGCTGTACTTTGAGCATCACATGCTCTCGGGGGTCGCTAGTTCCTTCCTCCTTGGCAAGCTCAAGTCTTTTGCGTCTGCACAATCTTCTCTGCAAAGCTCGCAGGTGCTGAACGACACTTTTCAGCTCACCACCCACAGCGGCCATGGCTGCCACGAATGCATACGGAAATTGGCCTGGGCTTGACATCGACAAAAGCAGCCACACAAGACACATGTGCACAAAGGCAAATAGCTTCGAAGAACATCGCAAACCCTATGTCATATGATAGGTATGTCAACCTTTGAGTCAACACTTCGCCGATACTTTGCACTAACAAAGCATGGTTTTGCGAAGAAGCGGTTGCAGCACCGTTCCAAAAGGTGTTTCCACAGCAGTTTAATCCAATGTTCTAATGGGTTTGCCTTTGTACAGCCGAACATGACCTTTGGCCGCTGGCTGCTTCCAATGCACATAGGACAGAACATCCAGCTTACTTCTTCCCTTAGGGAAAATGTCGCGGGCCTCCGACTCAGTCGGAGGCCCTGGTGGGATGGTCGGTACACTTGGCCAACCGAATTCAAAGAGTAAAGATTGGCACACATCCTTTTGCCAATTCGAAGCACCAACCTTGGCGAAGGCCCGGCTCCATTTCACAGCTGGTAGAATTGATTGTAAAGATGAACCCAAGATCTCCAGCCATTGGGCAGGCGAAATCTTTCCGTCCACACTCATTGATTGCTGTGAACGATATAGCTCTGCGATTTTCTCCTTCAGCCGCGAAAATAGATCTGTGTCTGCTGGTTGAAGGCAACGTGTGAGCCCAGCTGCAATGTAGACCAAACGAATATGGTTGAGCTTCGCTTGCCTTTTAATGGAACCGTGCAAGTGAGAAGGCGCGCAATCTAGAAGTAGTGCATAGTCACGGCCCGGAGCTGCAGCCTTGAGCTTGAATCCAAGCAAAGAAATATATCGTCTCAGTGTAGCATGGCATGACCAAGCGCTTTTCTGGGTCCAAACGGACAGATTGCCCCTGAGTTTCTCCACTTTGGCCTTCTTTCCAAGAAACCGACCGTTCGTGAGGAGAACCTGCGGAAGGAATGGCTGCACAGACGTGTCATTGCAAATCGTGCACATCAATGTGAACCGAGCCCGCGTCTCAGCCAAAGATGCGGCATCTACAGCCTTGTGCCCTGTGAAGCCCCGGGCGGCAGTGCCAACCTTCGCGGTTGGCTTCAAAGCAATGGAAGTTTCGTCCATGTTCAGCAAGAGAAGAGGACCCGAGCTGCTTGATTGTGCATGAACGTAGTTGCTCCATCTCCAAAAAGCTTTCGCCTGCCGACTGTAGGGTCAAAAAATGGTCCCTTCTGGGAGATCATGAAATTGACCCTCTATTAAACACAAGCAAGGGAGGGCCCAAAAACGGTCCCTCCAGGAGGGTCCAAAAGTGGCCCCCAGAAATCGACCAAAAATACCTTTTTGACAAAAACAATCCATATCGAATCTTTTCTCATTTCAACCATCCAAAACAATGACTTTCTCCCGCCTTGCGCTGCATGTCTGCTAGAGGCATCACTGCCTGCACACGCACGCGGCCCAACTGTAGACCATGTTCAAAACGAAAGCGGCGCAACCACTTTCTTTGTGACCTTGCGCGTCCATTGCTTTTCCAGTACTGCTCCAGCATGGCTGCCACATCATGCGGCAAATCCTTTGGAGTCAGCCTGCACGCTTCTGCTACTAATTGTTGCCTCCCAGGTGCAACCCCTTTCTTGTTTTGGGCAAGCAGCCATGTGTATAGCTGCGTTTCAACTATAAAGCGACCCGCCGCAAACAAGTCACGACGGTGGCGTGGGCATGTGGGACTATCTAAGAGGCCCACAATGGTTTCGAAAGGCACCTGCAAATAGGCATCTTCAATTGCAGAAGCTAAAGAATTTGACAAGGAAGCCTCTGCCACATTCAACTTGTTCTTGGCCGCCAAAAAGCGTGCAGCACAAGCAGAATTTCTGCCGCTCAACTCGAAAACAGCCAAAACAGATGTTGCAGTAGGCTGTACTTTGAGCATCACATGCTCTCGGGGGTCGCTAGTTCCTTCCTCCTTGGCAAGCTCAAGTCTTTTGCGTCTGCACAATCTTCTCTGCAAAGCTCGCAGGTGCTGAACGACACTTTTCAGCTCACCACCCACAGCGGCCATGGCTGCCACGAATGCATGCGGAAATTGGCCTGGGCTTGACATCGACAAAAGCAGCCACACAAGACACATGTGCACAAAGGCAAATAGCTTCGAAGAACATCGCAAACCCTATGTCATATGATAGGTATGTCAACCTTTGAGTCAACACTTCGCCGATACTTTGCACTAACAAAGCATGGTTTTGCGAAGAAGCGGTTGCAGCACCGGGGAGGCCCAACAAGCGTCTCCATTTTGCATTGGTTTTCAAGGGTCCAAAACTAGGACCTCAAAATCAACCTTTTAAAGACAACCCGATCAATCATTGAAAGCCACAACCCAAGTGATCTCGCCTCGGTGTTCCTTTTTGGAGCCATGCCACGCACGCGTCTTCGTGTGTCAGTTTGGGCCATTCAAACTCAACAAACGACAAAAACAAACCACAAATGTTCAGCTCGCACATGCACATGGTGAGGGCCAAAGTGACGCAACACGGGCACCCAATGGCAAATCTTCTCTTGCCGCAAGCGATCTGTTTTGACTCCCTTCAGCTGGTATTGGATAACAAAGCTGTCACCACTCCATGTGAGCCTTCTCAAGAACAATTAAATTAAAGCCATGCGGTCTCGACCTTTTGCTCCTCAGTCCAGATCGGACGCCCACAAACACCCGAGGCAAGGCACATGAAGACGACAAAGTCCAGCAAGAAGGCGGCGAACGCGGCGAAGTCCAGGAAGAAGACGACGAAGGCGGGCGGCGAAGTCCAGGATGAGGACGGCGACGGCGGCGAAGTCCAGGAAGAAAACGACGAGGGCGGGCGGCGGAAGTCCAGGATGAGGACGGCGACGGCGGCGAAGTCCAGGACGAAGAAGGCGAAAACGGCGAAGGCGTCAACAAAAGCAAAGTAGCTGCAATCTACCATGTTCGAGAAGTTCCTCGACAGAAAGTGCAGCCGCGGCTGCTTCTGAAAAAAGTCCTTTTAAAACCAAATGTCCATTCTTGGGACGCCATCTTCCCCAATATACGCCCAGATAGTGGGACAAAAATCTCTGAAAATTTTCCTGGAACCAAATTGGCCTTTTTTTCGGCGCCATCTTTAGCGATATACGTCCAGATAGTGGGACAGAAGTCCCTGGCACAAATACGCCCAGATAGTGGGACAAAAATCCCTGAAAGTTTTCTGGTACAAAATTGTCAATTTTTTCGGGCGCCATCTTTGGCAGTATAGTGGGACACAAAATCTCTGAAAATTTTCCTGGAACCAAATTCTTATATACGTCCAGATAGTGGGACAGAAGTCCCTGGCACAAATACGCCCAGATAGTGGAACAAAAATCCCTGAAAGTTTTCTGGTACAAAATTGTCAATTTTTTCGGGCGCCATCTTTGGCAGTATAGTGGGACAAAAATCTCTAAAAATTTTCCTGTTGGCAATATACGTCCAAATAGTGGGACAGAAGTCCCTGGCACAAATACGCCCAGATAGTGGAACAAAAATCCCTGAAAGTTTTCTGGTACAAAATTGTCAATTTTTTCGGGCGCCATCTTTGGCAGTATAGTGGGACACAAAATCTCTGAAAATTTTCCTGGAACCAAATTCTTATACGTCCAGATAGTGGGACAGAAGTCCCTGGCACAAATACGCCCAGATAGTGGAACAAAAATCCCTGAAAATTTTCTGGTACAAAATTGTCAATTTTTTCGGGTGCCATCTTTGGCAGAATCCGCAGAGCAACTGAGCAACTTCCGTAACGTACTAAAGACGGAAAATAAATTTAAGTTTTCTGTTCTCAAAAAAGTGCTCAGTTGCTCCTCCCATTTGGTCAATCTCTTTTTGGAAAACCATTTTTGGAACCATGTGTGTCCAGAGAATGGGACAGAAGTCCCTGAAAGATGTCCTGCCACAACACGTCCATTTTTGGGGTGCCATTTGTGGCCTTATCCGCCCAGACAGTGGGACAGCAGGTCCCTGAAAATTGTCCTGAAACCAAATGTCCATTCTTGGGGCGCCATCTTCCCCAATATACGCCCAGATTGTAGGACAGAAATGCCTGACAATTTTTTCTGAAACCAAATGCCCATTCTTTGGGCGCAATCTTCCCCAATATACGTCCAGACAGTAGGACAGAAGTCCCAGTGTTTTTTTCTGAAACCAAATCGCCATTCTTGAGGCGCCATCTTCCCCAATATACGCCCAGATAGTAGATTTTTTTTCTGGCGCCATTTTTTTCAGGTGCCATCTTGGGCAGTAAAATTACAGATGGCACCCCAAAAATGGAACCCCCCCAAAAAAAAAACAAAATGAATCCAAAACCGACAATAATACCTTGAGTCCCATCTCATGTGTAAATTTGATCATTTATTCCCATGTCATGTGTCAAAAAATTGAAAAATACTTGCCCGTTAGGTCAGGGACCTGCTGTCCCATTGTCTGGGCGGACAGGGCCACAGATGGCACCCCAAAAATGGAACCTCCAAAAATTGTTTTCCAAAATGAATCCAAAATCGACAATAATATCCTGAGTCCCATGTCATGTGTAAATTTGATCATTTATTCCCATTGTATCTGTCCAAACTCATTTGTAAATTTGATCATTTATTCCCATGTCATGTGTCAAAAAAATTGAAAAATACCTGCCCGTTAGGTCAGGGACCTGCTGTCCCATTGTCTGGGCGGACAGGGCCACAGATGGCACCCCAAAAATGGAACCTCCAAAAATTGTTTTCCAAAATGAATCCAAAATCGACAATAACATCCTGAGTCCCATGTCATGTGTAAATTTGATCATTTATTCCCATGTCATCTGTCCAAAAAAATGGAAAAATACCTGCCCCTTAGATCGGCGCATAACTTCCACATCATGTGTAAAAAAATAGCAAAATCGATACATAAATCCCGGAGAATCGATGCCGGCAATCTTAGATCAAAAATAGCAATGTCGTAAAAATACGGCTACATCTACATTTGATTTTGGTGACATTTGTTGGAATCTGTCGGAAATCCACTGAATTGTGTGGGAAATCGATGAAAAAGCGCAAACATCCTTTGTTTCGAAAATGCGCATGCGAATCGATATGTAGGCCAAAATCTTGACAAATCGTGACGAATCATTTTTTGAAAACAGTGAACCCGTCGAAAATACCATGACAAAACGTGATGAACCGTGATGTGCTAGTCGCGTAAGTAGATTCCCTCCCTAGACCCTCCCAGGAAAAAACACGGAACCTACGCTCGCGTAACCGCTCTACAAATTTAGTCGAAACCTCGCCAAGTATATGTATTCATCTACTTAGCGTGAGGCTATCGCCACGGTATACATATAACCAATATACAGAAACACGCGTATATATATATATACAAACATGCAACTGCAGCAACTGACATCACAAGCACAGCAAATGTGGAGGAGTTTCAAACAAAAATGAATCCGGAAAAATGCTCACCGCATGTTGCGGTAAAATTATAGTTCCGCAAATGTTGCCGAATTACGACTACGGACGTGCAATAATGCATACGAACGTTAAAAAAAACAAGGTTTACCGCAAATGTCAGCAAATAGACCCAGCATGGATAGTTTCAAAGCATTCTGTTTCCAAGACGCGTTTGACATGATCCCTTGAAGCTCTGGGGGCGAAGTCAGAGTTACAACACATTTACAAAGTTTCGCACTAGCAGGCTACTACAGAGACAAGGAAGACGCTCTTCTCTCTCATCTGAAGCTTTCCGAGGCAACGGCTAAGTGGCTAAGTCACATGAACTTGCCCTCTGCGGGTTTTGCCTTGGGTAGCTGCAGCCTCGCAGCCTGATCAGCGTAGCCAGTTCCCTGGCATATCCATCCCTGGTCACTCCATGGATGAGTCTGACCACACACAAGTCCTCGTCCCTGGCCCTTCCAGGGATGAGCCTGATTTCACAAAAATCTCTCGTAACCACGAGAACGCTAATGAATACTCAAAAGCTCTCTGTATCACAGAGGCCCCCAAAACTCGCTGATTACTGCGTTGCTAGCGCAGACTCTAGCTCATACTGAGCCTTCAAGGTTCAAGACCACCCCCGGGTCCTGGGTGAGGAAACAAGAAAAATCCTGCTATTTTGGATCAAGGCACTTGAGTCAAAATATCAAGAGAACTTTATAAATGATTTGTGCAAACCCAAACTTTCCAAACCTGATTCGCATATCTATCCACTCCTTCCATTTTGTTGCGAAAACGCGTCACCAAAGGTCAAGGTTTCATGATCGCGTGGCAAGGTCAAAAGCGGCTCGACTTTGTCTATTTCCAAACGTATACCACTGGACACATGGACCACAAAGGTTGTTCCCAAAAAATCGATGGTGGTTTACCAACTGAGGTGATCAGACTGGCGGGATTCACGGGGAAAAGTTTTCATGCTAGCGTGCTAGACCCAAGAGCCTTGTGATCCATACTTTAGCCTACGGGTTGAAAACCGAACCAGCGTTTTGCATGTTTCTATGTCTTTCATGGGGTTAACGGGGTGGGGTGGGGTAATAACGTTCATTTGCACTGCCTGACATACATGATGCTACGCTGCTGTACGTCTTTTTGCACTTCCTCACATGCATGATGCTACGCTGCTGTACGTCTTCTTGCACGTCCTCACATACATGATGCTATGCTGCTGTACGTCGTCTTGCACTTCCTCAAATATATGATGCTACGCTAGTGTACGTCGTCTTGCACTTCCTCACATACATGATGCAACGCTACTGTATATCGTCTTGCACTTCCTCACATATATGATGCTACGTTAGTCTACGTTAGTCTTGCTCAATGGCAAGATTTGGACGCATGTTCGCGCTTGGCAGTGGAGATGGGAAAACAGTTCCCACAAAAACCTCTGCAAGCTCACTGCAGAAATTGTGAAGAACACTTAGCGCAGAAAAAAAGAGAGTGCCGCTGAGCTTTTTTACATATCCAGTAAAAGTACGCGCGTACTTCTTCAGGAAATTGAACTTTGAGAGACATGCAAAACCACTGTGATTTGTGGTATGAAATCAATGACGAACACCGCAAACGTTGAAAACGCGGGTTCGATAAACAACCCGC